AGCTCGTGCCAGCTCGTGCCGATGACTGAGCGGCGCGTTGGGGGGGGGGTGACGCGCGGCCGGTTAGGTAAACACGCGTGCGCGAGCACGTGCTTGGGAGTCACGCCACAACGCTATCAGCCGCCGAGGCGAGCGCGTCGCGGAACTGCCGTGTTATTTTCTAAACTGTTTTACGCCGATTTTTAATACCGCATTTTAACTTCGGCACAATCAAGCCGATAATTAACACGAGTTGAGACGCGTACTTATCACACGAACAGGTATTGCGGGCTTTACCGCAGCAGGTAATTACTGCGTTTCATTTACTTCTTGTTACATTTACTTGTTAGAGAAACGTCACGATCAAATTCCTTACTGCCGATCAAATATTATTCGAGTATTATTAGTTCTTTATTCGGCTGTCATTTAACTATTTTTATTACGTATTGGGAAGCAACTCAGGTTGAAGCAACTTGAGTTACTTTTCAATATGTAATAAAAATGGTTGAATAACAACCGAATAAAGAACTAATAATATTGGAATAATAAACGGATGATGATAATATTTGATCGGTATTGATTTTATCGAACAATTCTGTATGTAATTAATTGATATTACTGGATATTATTATGCGGTTGTCGATCAGACATTATTATTATCTATTAATTAATCATGTGTTATTATTTCTTTATTCGGCTATCGTTTAATTATTTTTTATTGCGCATTGAGAAGGAACTCGAACGTGCCGTTACAACAATTTCTTTTCTTCGTCTTGCTGTCGTGTGTAACTAGTTAATACTAATTTATTAAATTACTAATTGATACTAACTTAAATTAAATTTCTGTTACAGAGATCTAATAGAGAAGACGCAGTCACGCGGCTCTAGAGGATGCGATGACTGGGAGATGCCGCGCCGAAGGATACGGCTCGGGCCTGTTTGAGTCGGCTCGAAGGTGAGCTTCCTTGATTTGTATTCGTAATTAAAAATCCGACAAAACATCCGACAAAATATGGTGTGCCAAGACTTGGCACACCACATTTAAAAATGTGACATTTTTTTTAAAGTTTTGATACTCTCTTGAAAAGTTCTAGAGCTCTTTGCAACAATTTTAAATAATTCCGGGCATTAAATACAAAAAAACAGACTTTCAAAAAAAGGTGCGCTAAGTTCTCGCAGCGCACCTAATCAAACAAACTATTTAAATTAACTATTTCTTTAGAGTTCCGGTTTGTTTTACAATAGTTCTAAAGTTCTATATCATATATAACAATAGTTCTAAAGAAATAGTTGATTTTACTGATTAAGTGCGCTTCGAGAACTTAGCGCACTTTTTTTTTAAAGTCTATTTTTTGTGTTAAATGACCGGAACTATTTAAAATTGTTGCATAGAGCTCTAGAACTTTTCAAGAGAGTATCAGAACTGCAAAAAAAATGTCACATTTTTGAATATGGTGTGCCAAGACTTGGCACACCATATTTAAAAATGTGACATTTTTTTTAAAGTTTTGATACTCTCTTGAAAAGTTCTAGAGCTCTTTGCAACAATTTTAAATAGTTCCGGTCATTTAACACAAAAAATAGACTTTAAAAAAAAAGTGCGCTAAGTTCTCGAAGCGCACTTAATCAGTAAAATCAACTATTTCTTTAAAACTATTGTTATATATGATATAGAACTCTAGAACTATTGTAAAACAAACCGGAACTCTAAAGAAATAGTTAATTTAAATAGTTTGTTTGATTAGGTGCGCTGCGAGAACTTAGCGCACCTTTTTTTGAACGTCTGTTTTTTTGTATTTAATGACCGGAACTATTTAAACTTGTTGCATAGAACTCTAGAACTTTTCAAGAGAGTATCAGAACTGCAAAAAAAA